TTCATATGTAAATACAAATATACACACTTGCACATTGCCGCTTCACTTTTGGAGAAGTATATTGCTATGTATTAGCAGGCGAATGTCAGTTTGGAAAGGTAGATTGTATATATATGTCTGCAATTAAGGGCCTTTTTCAAGAAGGTGCCTTGTACGTATATCTGCAAAAGCCCTGGAAAAAAGTATAGTACCTTTCAGACTGATGGTTCGTATTTCATTGTTGCTATCGCGAATCCTTTTGATATCTTACAGTTTGAAAAAGGCGATGCCGATTTTCTAAGGAAGGGCTGGAACACGAAGGTAATTGGATATGGACAACTCTACAAGTGTAGGTTTACTTCGAATAAAAGATTGATAGATCAGTGTAGAACAAAGGGACAGATGTAATAATACGTCTGCAACAAAAGTATGGAGTCAGTTTTGAAATTGATTTCAAGAAATTAAACGTTCATTGCATTTGCATTTTCACTTAAGTGTCTCTCGGAATTTAATTTGTCTCGCCCCATTAAAATCGGAAGAGAAAGAAGCAATTTCTACACTGATTCTTCAACAGCCTCTTCGGGCAGGCATCTTCTCGCTCTTCCTCCACCCCCTACCCCCACCGTACACTCTAACTCCAAATCAAACATGACCGGTCAGATAAACGATCGCGAACTTAAAACGTTAGCTCGCACTAATAAGACGCCTGCACTGCGGACTAAGTCCTTTTCAAAGGGCAGTTTTACATAATTTATGTCCAAAACAGCTCCTATCAGGCGAGACAATGACCGGCGTTTTCAGTAGGTTTTCTTCGCTACCGCAACAATAATACAGCAGCTAAAAAACAGCTCCAACAACGAAAACACTGTTTTTGGTTGTCGGTTTGGAAAATGGGTATTTAGAGAAGGGAGATGCCAAGGAAATCAAAATTACGAGCCGATCCAGCTTAACACTGCTCGAGCGATTCTACGCCGAAATTGAAAACAAACATGGTTAAATCTCGCAAACGACTATTCCATGTATATTGTTAATACGTAATCGCATGATTTTTCTCGTGCAGTTTGGAGAAAAATAAGCACTTTTTGTTAGTCTTTGAAAAAATTTACTCGCACTTTCTTATTCCAAATTGCACTCGAAATCATGTGATTACCTATACAAAGTAATTACAGAAAAGTTATAACATTTATTTATGCACCGATGAATATTCGGGCGTAAAACGTTAATGAAAGTTGATTTTCATTCCTTTTTCAGTAACAAAAAAATGACAGGTGCATCATTCTATTTAAATTTTAGCATCTAGCGGCCAAGATATGTAAAATTGGCACGAAACACATTTTCAATTTTCTTAAAGAGTTGATGTCAACTTTTCAATTTTATTTTAATCTTAAGTTAAAGTTTGGGATTAAAGTTACGCTTTTTACATCAGTAACAGAAATACTGTTGAATATTTTTGTATTTCTTAGGGCATTTCGTATGACATCAAAATTAAATTTCTTCTGGAAACTAGAAGGTTAAAAATTTATAAGCGGTATCATGGTTTGGATATTAATACAATGACTTCCAACAGTTTGTAATGTGCTTTCAAATATAACATTTAGTATGCCGTGATATATTCCTACGCTCTTCATAGAGACCTATAGTAACCCTAAATATACAGCTGTCGATGGAGAACCTAAAAAAGGTGGTAAACAACGATAAATAAAATATATACATTTGAACCGAAGGAAAGAAGATAGAATAACCAAAAGCAGTTTTGGCATAACACCATTGTACTTTGATTAGTTCTGTGACGCCTTAATAGAAACTGCCTCGGTAAACAGGGACAAAGAGGTGTGAAAAGTCAGCTTTAAACTGTTGGGGATATTGATAAAAGGAATATTTTACCCGAGCCAAAATAGCGGTAAGTGATATCTCTCTGTAAAAATACAAGAGAGTGAAATGTATAGTTGAGAACTTAATATGTTAGACACAAGGCATGAGCCCGTGGTAGCCACGAAGGAGTGTTCCATGATCTACACGAATCGTAGCGAGTGTGTTTCGTTAAAACCGGACACAAGAAGAAAGAAACAAAGAAATATAAAAGAATTTTCCTGTTAGTATAAAGATTAAAATCACACTGCGCATTTGTAATCCGTTAAGTAAATACCAACATTTTTAGGAATTAATTTTGTGCAAGGAACCTCTGCAAGTCCATTTGATTCCTTCTACTTGTGGGAATAAAAAGTTGACAAGACACAACATCATTAAGAGAGGAAAAGGAAAGAAAGGCAATTGGCATTGAATGAAAAGTTCTTTAAGATATTTCGATCGAATTACCATGCTCGCCACCTCTCAAATATTTGGGCAAACTTTCATTTTGTTAGAAATGTGTGTTTCTTAATCCAGCCAAGTTAACGTCTATTCCGATATTCAACCTATTTTTTGTTTCATATTGGAAAAAGGAAAGAGAAGCACCGCATTTGGCTTGCAACCCAAATATACTACTGATGTAGTATATTTTGTATGCGAAGGATAAATTAAC